TTTTTTACTTTCAAGCTTTATGAAACTACCCGCATTTATGATTATACTTATCAATATAACTTATGTACAAATACAAATTTGTAATATTCCACAGGAATAAATAAAACAACATAGGTAAATAAAACAAACTATTTTATTAATAATAACACCTACCAAATTTTATACCTTAAAGATTGATTAATTAACTTTAATCTTAATTTTTTTAAACCAGTACCTTTTGACATTATTTTTCTGCAGTACTAAAATCCATTATTTACCTATCGTGTGATGTCGATATTTTACAGCTACTCCAGTTTTTAGTATGTGTTTAGTTCGATCCACGGGGGTGTCACTTGTATGGGAAAACAGGCAACAGTCAAATTTAAACGTGCCAGGACCAACGACAAAGAAAGCAACATCTGCCAGGCATTGGCTTTCTTTGTCACTCACATTGCTTAAATCATGATACCGCGGCCATTTTGTCAACAAAGAAGCTGGCCGGGCTGTCCTGGCAAGTGATTTAAAACAATTTTGCTTTTTACAATATTAAATTACCATTTGGATGTATTTAATGCGATTATTCAATTAACTGGTAAGTCAGAAATTACACACAAATACTTTATTCGTAAATACAACTAAGATGTAAACGTAGTTTTGTATTTTTAGATTTCAACTTTTGCAAAGACCCGCCGATAGAACTTGCCTGGCAGCGTACCTGTTTAACTAGACGTATTATTTCCTGATAATAATATCAAAACACGTAAGTACCTCTATAATTTATGATGACAAATGATTTTGATTATGTTTTATGTTATTTAAATACTTTCTAACCTCAAATAATAGTAAGATCCTTGTTTATATCGCACAGCCCGTTCAAAACTGTATTGTCTTCAAAAAATGTTTACAAAACAAACAATTATTACAAAAACAATGTCCTTTTAATCTGATTTATACCTCAGAAGGATGCCAGTAAAATTTTATTAAATCAACATTATATTATTTGGCCATTAATATCCAAAAAGGAGCATATTGCCTTAACTTAAATTTTCTTTTACTTCTCTTGACAATGTTCTCTATATTCTCTATTTTGAGTTAGTAAACTTTTGAACGGGATGTGCGATATATAAAATACATAATATATCCAAGGGTATGATCTGATAAAAGTATTTTTTGATGCATTTTTTGGTTTTTTATGCACGTTGGCTTGGTTTATGTTTTATTCAGCTTATATTTATTTGTATAACAGTTTTTTGCCTTTGGAATGGCATGCATTGAGGCTAGATAGTGTTTCATTAGATCATTAAAGGAATTTAAATTAGCATATATTTTTTGTCATATTAGTGTGTTATCATGATACAGGTAGTTGTATTATAGTGCCTTATGCATGTTATTTACCTATTATATACTTATGTAATGTATTATCAGTAAATAGATGATAACATACTACTAAAATGTCTTTTTAATAGTATGTTTATCTTTCCAATTCACTAGTTATTTGCAAAATGTATTTTGAACTAATTTAAGTCATTAATTGATCATCTTTCTTTTTCAGGTTCCGGGATATTCTTTTCATTGTTAAAAAAATATATATATTTCAATATTATTGTAATATAAATCGCAGCTCTAAAAATAAATGATATTGTTTACTAATGTGTAATTTATTTACTATGAATTTTCTCTGAAAATAATAAGTCTTTAATAATATCATTGATTTGCTGTGTAAAGTTAATAGACATATTTTTAATACATTAAATTATATTAAAGTAATAAAAATATGTTTATTAACTTTTTAAACAGTAAGTCAGTGATACTTATAAAAATATTTTTTTTTAAATTTCCCCTCTTTTAAGCCCCGACCCTCCAATTCCCCTCAATTTAGCTAGTACTGCCAGGCGACACCAGGTGGCGTCTGTTTCCATTTTTTAACATGAAGTTAGCATTTCTTTAATGTACCTATTCTCTGGTTCGATCCTTCTACCATATACGAGATGCACTTATCTACGACGAGATGGTATACGAACTTTAATGATGGTAACTTTATTGGCGTATAACACTTTCTGCCTGGGCAACGAGTATTAACCATAAACTGTGCTCTGGGTCTACAGTTAATTTTCACTCGATTTTTCCTCCACTTGACTTCAAAAGACACAAAACACACGTAATAATACGTATCAAAATGCATCATCTTCCAAAACGCAGGGTATTTAACAAAACTTGACACAAAATTATAACCTATAATTTGGCAAGACTTTGACAAGCGTCAAAAATGACAAAAATCTAAAGGCGAGTTCATACGCATCGGCGTCCGTTTATCGTTCATCGTTCCGTCAAACCAATAAAATTGAAATACGATCTGTCATTTTTAAATAAACCAATAAAACTGGTTAAAAACAACAAGACACGACGTATGACGGATTTATATTTAAACCCATCCATAGATAACTTAAAAATTATTAGAAACTTTTTTTAGTAAAATAAATAGATTGGTATGGGACGTCATCTGCTTTTCTTCTGTCATCGTCTGTCGAAATCTTACCTGAGAAAAAAAACAGAGTATAGATCTATCGATTAAAAATATTTTTAATATGGCGGCACTTCCGGAAATACCGGAAGTTGACAGCAACTTTCTTATTTTAAATGGGTGCCCCCATTTTTTATTACATACTTAAATTCTCTGTAAAATTTTATGAATTTTGATATTAAATACTCTATACCTAGCATTAATAGATTTTGAGAAAAAAATATTTAAAATTTTTTGGAGGAAAAAAAACCGCCTGTCAAAAATATGTGTATAGCCTAAACGTCAAATGTAGTGATTACCACAGCCACTGTTCCATGAAGAGAAGGCATGTGGCTATCTATTTCAAAAATTAAATTCTTCGAATGCAAATACGTTATTTTTAAACGTATTTGTTCCAATGTCATATAATAATGACAGTAGCTGTCATGGAATTGAGCGATTAAAAAATTATCAGAAATCATTTTTTTCGAATGGAATCGTATATTTGGAATTAAAGCGTATATTTTTCTTGATTTTAACCAGTAGCCTTGATTTAACCAGTAGCCAATGCTTTGAAATTCGTTACTTTTTGACTATACATGTTCCTATTCTTAAAATAAATCGTTTTTTAGTTTTAAAGCGAATATTTTTCTCGATTTTAACGAGTAGTTTATGACTTTAAACGTTAAGTGATGTAAAACAAATGATCTGGCCATGTCATATTGTGAGACTTTGTTCAAAAAACAGCATCATTTTCGAGCCAACTTCGCAACGGTTTTTTTTTTCGATCATACGGAATATTATTAATAATATCAACTATTAGATATCACTAAACAGCGAAAATAAGAGATATACACTTTTTAAGTTAAAATTATTTTTTTTAAATATCTCTTAAGGAGGCAATATTTATAATACAGAAAATTCCACACTTGTAATGTTTAACCAATCAAAAGGTGTTTTTTTGGCAAATCACCATGGCAACCGATAAATTTTAGTGAAAATTTTTTCCTTGTGGGTACCCAACAGCGAATTAGACTGGAAATTTTTTGACGTTTATAATGACAGAATATCTTTTTGAGAGTCTGGTTTTATTAGATTATTATGATTTTTGAAGATTCTGACTTTGACAAGAGAAAATTATTTCTGTTTTTGTTTGCCGTTGTTCTTAGCGACCGCTATAGCAGCGCCAGATCGCGTATAACGGTCGCGACCCAAAATAATTTCGCGACCTAAAATTTTTACGGGCTTTCCAATCTAAACTTGTTGCATTTATCTATGTTGACAGCTTCAAAACTGAAATAGTTTTTAGTAGGATGTTTTTAGGTTTGGGTGTCACTTAGTTGTCATAGTAACTAAATAATCAATTCGACCAAAAATCGAAAAATACATTTTAATCTTTATTTTAATTATTTAATTTTCAAACACAATTTGGTGTGGAATTTTCTTACCGAATACCACACGAGGTCAAAGTAAATCCGGAAATTTTTTCGAGCTCATGAATATTTTGCAAATTATCCCGAGTCGAAGACGAGGGATAATTTTCTAAAAATATTCATGAGCGTAATGAAAAATGAAAATTTCATGAAAAATATTCATTAAAAAAATTGAAATAATTTGACCTCTAGTGGTATTACCACGGTATTACTAGTGAAAAATCAAATAATTCGTTTTGTGGCAAATGGAAATAAATTGTCTATTGGACACTTAATGTCAAAGGAAGCTAGATAAAATCAAGAAAAATATACTTTTTCATACCAAATCTTAAATAACTTAAAAACGATTTATTTTAGGTATAGGAACATGTATACTCAAAAAGTAACGAATTTGAAGACCTTTTCAGTAATGAAATAAAAAAAGTGGATTTCCATTTGAAAAAAAAATGATTTCTGATAATTTTTTAATCGCCAAACCAATCCATGACAGCTGCCGCCATTATTATATGACATTTGAACAATTTAATTTTTGAAATAGCTAGCCACATGTCTTCTCTTTATGTCACAGTGGCTGTGCTAATGACTAAATTTGACTTACTATAGGCTATACATTTTTTTTTGGCAGGTGGTTTTTTGGTCCAAAAATTTTAAATATTTTTTTTTCTCCAAAACCGTTAATCTTAGGTATAGAGTGTTTAACATCAAAAGTCATAAAATTTTACAGAGAATTTAAGTATGTAATAAAAAATGGGGGCACCCATTTAAAATAAGAAAGTTGCTGTCAACTTCCGGTATTTCCTGAAGTGCCGCCATATTGAAAATATTTTTAATCGATAGATCTCGTTGTAAAACAATGATGTGCAAAAAATCTCTGATCTAGATAATGTGGCTCTCTAGAAATTTTTAATGCACGCTCAGCCTGGGACACCCTGTATAGATTTTTAAAATATAGACAAATGATGCTTTGAAAAACCTTCAGTACGTTGGTGCGTACAAAAAGGGGGGCCGATTGGCCAGAAACGAAATATTTTTAAATTTTAATGATAGAAATTAACAAGTTATATTAAATAATCGAATTTATTTTACAGCTTACCAATATTGGTATAAATGTCGCCAATATTTCGTTTGCAACTCTCACCATGGAGAGTGACAAATTTATTTGTGTGCGGGAAAAAGTTGGAGAGACATCACAAGTCGTTATTGTTGATATGGCAGACACGGCTAGTCCAATACGTAGGCCTATCACAGCTGAGAGTGCCATTATGAATCCAGCGTCAAAAGTTATCGCTTTAAAAGGTAAAATATAAATGACTTAAGTTTAATTAAATTTTAAAAATTAATTGCTAGGTAAAGCGGGAGTAGAAGCTCAGAAAACGTTGCAGATATTTAATATCGAAATGAAGTCAAAAATGAAAGCTCATACAATGAACGAAGATGTCATATTTTGGAAATGGATTAGCCCAAATACTTTGGCCTTGGTTACAGAGACATGCGTTTTTCACTGGTCCATGGAGGGTGATTCCACACCTGTTAAAATGTTTGATAGGTAAGTGTTAATCTGCGTTAAATAATTTAATCCTTTGTTTACATTTTACTTATATACCTACACCCAGAAGAAAAAAACGCAACGGAGAATTTTTTAGTCAAGTTTAAAGTGTTTTTAGCTCTATTTTCATGATTTTTTTAGCAAACTGTATATATACAGGGTGGTCCGAATTGTATTCCGGAAACTTCGGCAGCATATTCTGCAGACAAAAATAAGTAAAAATGTTCTTATAAATGTATGTCCTAAAATTCTTAGTTTTGGAGATACCGGGTGGAGAAGTTTAATTTTTATTTCGATTTTTTTAAAATAGTTTCTGAAGTAATGTCAATATTTGGATGAAACTTGGTGTCTGGGAGTTTTTTTACGTGAGAAATTTGATTTTGATGTCAATATGACTCTTATTTGTAGGGGGCGCCACCTACATGTGTTTTAACTGTTTTGAAGAGTAATACCTTTTCGTCCGTACCTGTATAAAACTACTGAGTGAAAAAATATAAATTTCCGTGATTTTTTACGTAAAAAATATCTCTTTTACGTAAAAAAATGCTACGAGCAACTGTTCTCAAGAAATTTAGAACGGAAATGGTCAATACATGTCACTATTGATAAAAAATAAACACTTTGAGTAGATAGTTATTTGACTGAAATAATAAATTTGTGAAATTTTTATTTTTTTTTTAAATTAATCATAATTGTTTTGCGAAAAAATGATGAGAAAGAATTGTTGGCACAAAAACATTTCAAATTTATGATTTCAGTCTAATAACTATTTAGTTAACATGTTTAATGCATGTCAATGATGGCAAGTATTGATAATTTTGATTCTAAATATCTCGAGAACCTTTACTCGTAGTGATTTTTACCAAGAAACCTTTTTTACGTAAAAACTGTCGTAAATATATATACTTTTTTACTCATTAGTTTTATACAGGCACAGACGGAAATTTATTACTCTTCAAACGAGTTAAAAAATATATAGGTGGCGCCCTTTACAAGTAGGAGTTATATTGACATCAAAATCAAATTTCTCATATTAAAAAACTACCAGACACCAATTTTCGTCCAAATATTGACGTTACTTCATAAATTATTTGAAAAAAATCGAAATAAAGATGCAACTTCTACACCCTGTAACTTCGAAACTAAGCATTTTAGGGCATACATTTATACGAACTTTTTTACTTATTTTTATCTGCAGAATTTGCTGCCGAAGTTTCCGGAATACGGTTTGGTTCAATCTGTATAAATCTATCAACTTTAATACATAAACTCAGTTTTTTTCATAAACTTTGGTATTCGGCTTATTATAGAGGGTTAATTGTAGGGTTAATTTTTACCTTAACTTTAAAACACCCTGTGCAATAATTTCGTGAATAACTTGTCCTAAAACATTATTTTTCGATCAGAACCATGTCTCCTAAGCATTTACTTTTTTGACTCATGTCAAGACATGTCTTGGTTTTATATTTTTAAGACCGAAATGAACTTGCCAACAAGTATTTGCAATTTTTTCAACAATCATTAGTTTGTAATGTTATTTTTTAATATCACGAGATGACTTTAGTGACTATTGTCGTAATGTCATCTCGACACTGATTAAAACTCTATATTAAAATTTAAAAAACGTTAAAATGTAACGATACATGCTTGGTTTTATTAAATATTAGTAACACTAGCAGAACTGAGGCTATTAAAAAAATAACTGTTTAACTAACTATACAAACAAACAAAAAGTTTGTAAAAATACTCTAATACTTTGCATTGCCTCCCACGGCTGCTATAACTGTCTGCAGACGTCGGTTCATACTGTTAATGATGCTGCAAATATATTTTGTTTATTTTCATCCTTCTTCAAAGACCAAACGAATATTCATAATTTCGGCCATCTTCAACAAAGTCAGTGACTTTAGCACAGTCTTCGACACTAATATTCAATCATACACAACAGTAATCATCAAAGCCACCTCGTTAAAATGAAGAATAACATCAAAAAGTCTTGATAATTGAAAAAATTGCAAAATGTGTGTGGCAAGTTAATTTTACTCTAAAAAATTAACAAAGGCATGTGTTGACATGAGGCAAAAATATTCAGGAGACATGGTTCTGACCGAAAATGAATGTTTAGGAAAATTTGCACACGAAATTATTGCATAGGATGTTTTAAAGATAGGGTAAAAAACAACTCTTCGATTAACCCTGTATAGTGTCAAATACTAAAGTTTATAATAAACTGAGTGTGAATTAAAGTTGATATATTTATATATGTCGTAGTTTCATAGTATATTCCGTCTTTTCACGAAGAGCTTAGTCACTTAATGAAAAAAACTAACCTAATAACATAACTAGCCTGCTAACCTAACCGACGCTTCATGAGGTGACTAGGATCTTCACGAAAAGACGGCATACACTATGTAACTACGACATATACACTTTGCTAAAAAAAATCAAGGAAATAGAGCTAAAAATAAAAAAAATATATATATAACATTTTAAACACACAACCAGACCAAAATTTTTTCAGTTGCGTTTTATTTGCATCTGGGTGTAGTTCTTCTCGCATAATTTTACGTCTTTTTGACTTTTGACATCGTGTACAATGATGTTATGGCTCATACAAAAAATCTTAATGGAGACAAGCTGTTCTGAAGTGAAGGTTGCATTAATTTGCCTTATATTGTTGTATATAATATTTTTCTATATAATTATAATTGTTTCAAACATGTTTTAATATATGTTATATTTTATCAGACTTTTACACCAGAAATGTATCACTTTTTTGTTTTTTAGACATTCATCACTTAATGGCTGTCAAATTATAAACTATAGAACAGATCCAAAACAAAACTGGTTGCTTTTAGTTGGAATTAGTGCTCAGCAATCTCGCGTTGTTGGAGCTATGCAGCTATACTCAGTAGAAAGAAAAGTTAGTTTGGGGTTATAATTTATTTACATAATTTATTTTAATGTCAATTTCTAGTGTTCCCAGCCTATTGAAGGCCATGCAGCATCTTTTGCAACCTTCAAAATCGATGGAAATCCAGAGCCTTCAACACTGTTTTGTTTTGCTGTAAGAGCAGCTCAAGGAGGAAAATTACACATTATTGAAGTATGTTCTTATGCATTTTACTTAAACAAATTTAATAGGTTTTTATTCTTAGGTTGGTCAGAGTCCACCCGGCAATCAACCTTTTCCAAAGAAAACTGTTGATGTTTTCTTTCCGCCTGAAGCCCAAAATGATTTTCCAGTAGCCATGCAAGTCTCGACTAAATACGACGTAATCTATTTGATTACTAAATACGGTTACATCCATATGTATGATATTGAGAGCGCAGTTTGCATTTACATGAACAGAATTTCAAGCGAAACTATCTTTGTTACTGCTCCTTATGAAACCACTGGCGGAATTATCGGTAAATATTAATAAGTGATTTTAATAACCGTGTAATTTAATAATTTTAATTTTAGGCGTCAACAGAAGAGGTCAGGTGCTGTCTGTGTCTGTAGACGAAGAGAATATAATTCGATATGTAAATCAAATATTACACAATCCTGATTTGGCCTTAAGACTGGCCACTCGTAATAATCTTTCGGGCGCCGAAGAGCTTTTCGTTAATAAATTCCAGTTGCTCTTTCAAAATGGACAATATACTGAAGCGGCTAAAGTATATATTTCTTTACTAATTAGTTACAACTTTTGTTAAAGTTTATCTTTTTAAGGTGGCTGCAAATGCACCTAAAGGAATTTTACGAACTCCCGCAACCATTCAAATGTTCCAACAAGTTCCAACACAAGCTGGACAGAATAGCCCTCTTCTACAGTATTTTGGAATTCTATTAGATCAAGGACAGTTAAATAGGTGTGTATTAATTAATAGTTTATTTCTTGGAATTTTTTTACGGGTTGATTTAAAGCATAAATATAGTCTGTTCAGCCATCGTCCAACCTTACGTCATCATTATTTATCACTACGTACCCGGTATAGTAGAGTACACTTAATTTAAAGTATAATATCGATTTATGTATATTGATTTGTTATTAGTTATTAAAATTGTAAAAAATATATTTATAAAATAAAATAATTTTTTGTTTATAGATATGAATCATTAGAGCTCTGCAAACCCGTGTTATTACAAGGTCGTAAACAGCTACTGGAAAAATGGCTGAAAGAAGATAAATTGGAATGTTCAGAAGAATTAGGAGATTTGGTAAAGCAAGTTGATCCCACATTGGCTCTTTCTGTCTATCTAAGAGCCAATGTTCCTGCAAAAGTAATTCAGAGCTTTGCGGAAACAGGACAGTTCCAAAAAATTGTGCTTTATGCAAAAAAAGTTTCTTACACGCCCGATTACATATTTCTGTTACGTCAAGTAATGAGGACCAATCCAGAACAAGTAAAATTAACCCATAATGGATTTAGCAAATTTGTAACATAATTTAAACTTTTAGGGTGCCGCATTTGCCAGTATGTTAGTTGCAGATGAAGAGCCGTTGGCAGATATTAATCAAATAGTAGACATTTTCATGGAGCAGAATATGGTGCAACAGTGTACTGCTTTCCTTTTGGATGCGTTAAAGAATAACAGACCTACTGAGGGCCACCTACAAACTCGTCTTCTAGAAATGAATTTGATGTCTGCTCCTCAAGTTGCTGATGCCATACTAAGTAATTTTCTTTCTTATACTTATAATTTCAGACAGGTTTATTCTCTTCTGAGATTTTCACTCTACAATATTTTTTATGCAATTTAGTATCTCACTTTTTAAAATGCTGATTTTTTTGCACACTGGTTTTTTGGTTTAAAAAATTTCACAAATATATAAAAAATCAATTTTTAACTTATTGTCTTGCAACTCTTCAGCACTTATGACATAATCGTCTTCTTTCGTGAGTTGGACTATTCATAATATATGGTTCAATATACAGGATGTTTCTTAATGATATGCTAATATTTAAGGGTGTGATTCTTGGACCTATTCTAAGAGAAAAACTTCATATGAATGAATGTCCTAAACATCTTAATTTCTGAGATACAGGGTGGTAAATTTTGTTGTGAGAAATTCAGAATTGTTTTAACTATCAAAATTAAAGCCCACTATATCATAAAGCGTTTTGCTCTCGGTATTCATAAATAATACCATTTTAGGCAACAATATGTTCACACATTACGACAGGGCCCATATCGCTCAATTGTGTGAGAAAGCAGGTCTATTACAAAGAGCTTTGGAGCATTACACTGATTTGTATGACATTAAGAGAGCAGTAGTTCATACGCATCTTTTACCTGCTGAGTGGTTGGTCAGCTTTTTCGGCACACTTAGTGTGGAAGACAGTCTTGAATGTTTAAAGGTGAGTTATAATATGCTTTTTGGCGATTTTTTTAACTATTATAACTACTTTTTCTTGAAGTGTTAATGATTTTTCCAAGTTAATATATTATGCATTAATAATTAATAATGAATAATTTTAGGCCATGTTAACAGCAAACATCAGACAAAATTTGCAAATTTGTGTTCAGATTGCAACAAAATATCATGAACAATTGACAACTAAAGCTCTAATTGATCTTTTTGAGAACTTTAAGAGCTATGAGGGTCTCTTCTACTTTTTGGGATCAATTGTCAACTTCTCTCAAGATCAGGAAGTTCATTTCAAATATATACAAGCGGCATGTAAAACAGGTATTTTTATATTTATACATTTTTTATTAAATATTACTTAATGCAAAATTTATTTTTAAGGACAAATTAAGGAGGTTGAGAGAATATGCCGAGAATCAAATTGTTACAACCCCGAGAGAGTCAAAAACTTCTTAAAAGAAGCAAAACTTACTGATCAGCTTCCTTTAATTATTGTTTGCGATCGTTTTGATTTCGTTCACGATTTAGTTCTATATTTATATAGAAATTCGCTTCAAAAGTAAGTAACGGAACTGATAAATACCGCCCTTGTTGTTATAGTAACCTATTAATTTATAGGTATATTGAAATCTACGTTCAAAAAGTGAACCCCAGCCGTTTGCCGGTTGTAGTTGGTGGATTACTTGATGTCGATTGTTCTGAAGACATTATAAAAAATCTGATTCTGGTAGTTAGAGGTCAGTTTTCGACAGATGAGTTAGTAGAGGAAGTTGAAAAGAGAAATAGGTAATTTAACATAACTATGATATTTAGTTTTATTTTTTTGCATATTTTCAATATTTCCAGATTAAAACTTTTATTACCATGGCTTGAGAGCCGAGTGCATGAACAGTCTGTTGAACCAGCTACTCATAATGCATTGGCTAAGATTTACATTGATTCAAATAATAACGCAGAAAGGTTCTTGAAAGAAAATCAATGGTAAGTTACATACACTTGTAAAAATCTCAACTAAAAAATGATTTCCTATGAATAATGTTTATTTAGTTTTAACACACTTACGGATTATAATAAGTGGGTACATAAATTTCCTGTTTATATTATATGTTTTCTGTATTTTTATAGGCTTGGTGCATTCTCCGCCGGTGCTGCCACCATCGGAGAATATCGTAAACAATCGGTAAATACAAATACAAGGGTTTAAATAGCGAGTATATGAAAAAAAAGTTTATATAATTATTCTAAAAGTGTTAAGAAGTATAATTTTTGAAAATTCTAAAAATAAAAATAAATATTTTGATATCTTCAGAAGGTCTAACTTGTATTATAATTTATTATTGAAGTTAATAAAAATTTTTAGATTAGGGAGCATAGTTATACGCACCGGTTTTGCTAGTGGGGCATAATCGGGTCTTTTCGGCTATAACGAAATTTTTTAATGGTACATAAATATCATTTTAGAAGATGTTCGTAAAACATTTAATCACTAGTTAATTAAAAAAAATATACCAGTAATATTTCAAACAATATTTTATTCTCTCATAGTATGTGTATATATGTGCGTATTTGTTTACTCACTTGTTTCGTTGAACTGCTTGAATCCATTTTTGCTTTTGATCAAATCGGTGTTAGAAACTATGAAGCTATAAAATGTTATTTCGGGAGAGTTGAATATCCGGGAAAGTTGAGTTATTGAATGTTATTGCACCCCTAATTTACGCTCTCCTTTACGCGTTAACATTTTTTTGGCAATTTTATTAACATATGAAATTGTCAAAACACAACACGATGCCTAGTTCAAATCCTTTTTCACGTATTTTTTACTACCTGAAACAGCGTTACATCACACAAACCTCGTACATGAGTGTTTTATAATCTCAATAAGTGCACTAGCAAAAAACTAAAATACTTAAATATTATGACAAAACTGCAATTTCAATATTATTTTAATGCGAATAACATGACGGCGGCGTGAAATAGGTACTGATAATTTCTGATTTTTGCCGTTGAAGCGCTGCGGTCGGAATTTGTTGAAATTAACTGAAATGCACCAAGCCTATACCTAAATACAGTGTATCCAACGAAGGAAAAGGCGATTTCGACAAACGACATTCTAAAAATTACAGAAAATACAATCTAGAATTGAATTAAAATGACAGATTTCATTTGTGACTGTTATTATTCTATTGTACAGATTATAATAGTATTCCTTATTATTTAGGTATGATTCTCGTGTGGTTGGTCGTTACTGTGAAAAGCGCGATCCTCATTTAGCTTGCGTTGCATATGAAAGAGGTCAATGCGACAGGGAGCTTATCGCCGTTTGCAACGAGAACTCCTTGTTTAAGTCGGAAGCCAGATACTTAGTCCACAGACGAGATCCGGAGTTGTGGGCAGAGGTACTACAAGAGAGTAACCCCTACAGACGGCAGTTAATTGATCAAGTAGTTCAGACGGCTCTCAGCGAAACACAGGTTTGTATAGTTAATTTTATCTTCCTTCCAATCTGCTTCAATAATTGCTTAAATAATGTGTTTTAGGATCCTGAAGATATTTCAGTTACCGTTAAAGCTTTCATGACAGCTGATTTGCCGAACGAGCTAATTGAACTTTTAGAAAAGATTGTGTTGGATAGTTCAGTTTTCTCCGACCACAGAAATTTGCAGAACTTACTTATTCTTACTGGTAAGTATTTCCTGCGTTGTTTATATTTTGTTAAATTGTTTTATTTATAGCTATCAAGGCTGACGCTACGAGAGTGATGGACTACATCAACCGATTGGATAATTACGATGCCCCCGATATTGCTAACATTGCCATTAATAATCATCTTTACGAAGAAGCTTTTGCAATTTTTAAGAAGTTTGATGTTAACACCTCTGCTATCCAAGTTCTTATTGAACAGGTCAATGATTTAGATCGAGCCTTTGAATTTGCAGGTAATCAATTGTATAATGATTTTATACAAAGCTGTATTGGGCAATTATTTATTTGTTATAATTTATAGAACGTTGTAACGAGCCAGCGGTATGGAGTCAGTTAGCTAAAGCTCAATTAAATCAAGGACTTGTCAAGGAAGCTATTGATTCTTATATTAAAGCAGACGATCCATCTGCCTACATGTCTGTTGTGGAAACAGCTTCAAAAAATAATAGTTGGGAAGATTTGGTGAGATATTTGCAAATGGCGCGTAAGAAGGCAAGAGAAAGGTTATAACATATCAGATTATTCATTAATATTAACATAACCCATTCTATTTTATATTTTAGTTATATCGAATCGGAACTGATCTATTCTTATGCTAAAACCGGAAGGCTGGCCGATTTAGAAGAATTTATTTCTGGTCCAAATCATGCTGATATTCAAAAAATTGGCGATAGGTGCTTTGATGATGGAATGTACGATGCCGCAAAATTACTTTACAATAACGTTTCTAACTTTGCTAAATTAGCTATCACTTTAGTACACTTGAAAGAGTTTCAGGTAAGATGCAATATAGATCATATCAAACAAACTTTTAGTCCCGTGATTAAGATTGACACTTTTACATATTTTCTTTTAATCAAAACAATTTTGGAAACAAAAATATATTAATTATAAATATATAAACAGTTATTCTTTACATCAACAACTCTTTAACAGCACTTAAGGGACAGAAAGGGCCATTACTACCGCTTTTCCGTTCAAAATATTCTAATAAAGTCGCGATGAGTTTTTTGCAGCAGCTGTTAAACTCTTTTGTACACTTCGCACTAAAAGAGGTTTTAAAAAGAACAATGTTTGACTGCAAGGTCTGATAGTAAACATTTTCAAACTTAAAATATCACAATACAGTTCATTTAAATCAAAAATTTGTAATACAAAACTAAAGTGTCAAAACGAATGACAATGTCAAATAAATAAATAAATGTGGCAACTTGACATGTTTTACAGCAGAGCTACCGCCTGAGTCCCCAGGGGGAAATTTAAATTCCCGTTATTCAGCCCCGCGCCGAATATATCCTTGGTTGGCAACAATGAATTTAAAAATCGCGCCCTCGATTACGTAACTAAAAGTTTAATTGGTATCGCTTATATATACATTTTCAGCGTTTAGTTTCAAAGATTTGGTGTTAATAATGCATTATTTAGGGTGCTGTAGATAGTGCTCGTAAAGCTAATAGCACTAGAACATGGAAAGAAGTTTGCTTTGCTTGTGTGGATGCACAAGAGTTCCGTTTAGCTCAGATGTGTGGTATGCACATAGTCGTACATGCTGATGAATTGCAAGACTTGATTGATTATTATCAAGATAGAGGACATTTTGAAGAATTGATAGGTATTGTTACGCTAACTTTTTTTTTGTAAAACTTATTTTAATATGTGATTTGTTTTTAGGTCTGTTGGAAGCTGCTTTGGGTCTGGAAAGGGCCCATATGGGTATGTTTAGCGAACTAGCTATTTTATATTCCAAATATAAACCTGCAAAAATGCGTGAACATCTGGAACTTTTCTGGTCGAGAGTTAATATTCCTAAAGTAAGATATTTTTTTCTGCTTAATTTATTTCAAATTTTCAATAGCTCAACCAATATATAAAATGTTATAAAGATCTATACAGTACAAATATCGTAAAATATTTTAGGTATTGCGTGCAGCTGAGCAAGCTCATCTTTGGGCCGAACTGGTCTTCTTGTATGACAAATATGAAGAATACGATAATGCTGTATTGGCTATGATGGCTCATCCTACAGAAGCATGGCGAGAAGGTCATTTTAAAGATATAATTACTAAAGTTGCAAACATCGAATTATATTATAGAGCTATTCAGTTTTATTTAGATTACAAACCTTTACTGTTAAACGATTTGTTGTTAGTGTTGGCGCCTAGAATGGATCATACCAGGTATTATACCAACATTTTTAAAAACCATTTGTTTCAAAATAATTCCTTTACAGAGCTGTTTCTTTCTTCACTAAAACTAATCATTTACAACTTGTGAAATCATATTTACGATCTGTCCAAAATCTTAATAATAAAGCTATAAATGAGGCACTCAATTCACTGTTAATTGATGAAGAAGATTTCCAGGTATGGTTAACAAAACTTACATTAATATCAGTTATCTGCAATACTACTTGCTACAATTTTTCTTTTATTATTGTTTAAACTGTCACTAAAAACATGATTATTATGTTTTTTATTTATTATTGAATATTTTTTAAACAATTTGTGCATTTACAGGGTCTGAGAACATCAATAGATGCCTTTGATAACTTTGATAATATTGGATTAGCACAGAGACTGGAAAAACATGAACTGACAGAATTTCGACGAATTGCAGCTTATTTATATAAAGGAAATAATAGGTAAAAATATTTTTGTATACATTTTGTCGTCGAAGTTCTAATTTTTTATGTTAATAACGTTATTGTGTATCGATATGTTAATGTTAATTATAAAATATTATAAATTAATAACAATATTTCAAAAATGATAAGTAAAGTGACAAAAATATAAATTTTAATGTTTTAATAGAATCAAGAATACAAATTTGCAGTGGGTTATCCACTTTCACGTAAAAATTCACAACTATAGAGTGCCAAAAATGACGTCGCTTCCGTGTCTAATGTATGAATATAAAATAGTATTAAGCTCTTTAGTCAATGATTTACGTGGACTCAATTTAAGTGCCTTACTTTGGTTATGGTTTTCTGTTTCATTTTTATGAGTTATCTACTTGAAATTTGTATTATTATTGAACAAATTTTATGAAAAATATCTCGTTGTTTTTATCAAATTATCCAGCATGAAAAAGTATTTGTTCTCGATTTTCTGACAATAAAATGTCATAAAACTAAACACTTTTTTAGATGGAAACAAAGTGTTGAATTATGTAAGAAAGATCGATTATTCAGAGATGCAATGGAATATACAGCTGAAAGTAGAAACCAAGAGTTAGCTGAGGAGTTACTGGGTTGGTTTTTGGAAAGGAAAGCCTACGATTGTTTTGCCGCCTGCTTATATCAAGTAAAAATACAAACAATAATTTTAGAATAGTTCTTATAAATTCATATATTATTTTTATTTTAGTGTTATGATCTTCTTCATCCAGACGTTGTTATGGAGTTATCTTGGCGTCATCAGATAATGGACTTTGCGATGCCCTATTTTATTCAAGTCACTAGAGAATTAAGTACTAAAGTCGAAAAGCTGGAACAATCTGATGCCCAGCGGCAGACTGAGGCAGCGGAACAAGATGCCAAGCAACCCATGATGATTCCAGAGCCCCAACTAATGCTTACAGCTGGACCAGGAATGGGTTAGTAAATTTGAAGAAAAACACAACTTTTACTACAAAAGTGTATTTATTAAATTTCATTTATAAACACGAAAACTTAATTCTGAAAGTAATATTGATTGGCCTATAATTATTAAATTAGAGATTTTGTAAAAAACTGCATTATTTTGGGAAACTTAAATATTGGTTTTTTAAAAATCGCTTATTAACTCATATTATTTTTTCTAAATCTGCAGATATTTTTTCAGTGAAGGTAAAACTAGTATTGGGAAAAATCGGATGATTTCAATCCTCGAGTATTGATCCTCGAGGATTCCAATAATCGGATGATCATCCGAGGAATCCTCGGTCTCGGTCACAAAATTTTCTCTGTATAATATCTCGATCGAAACCTGAATAATACTCGCCGCTGGGTGTGAGTGATTTTGCTTGCTGTTTTTAACACACTGTTGTACTTGAATGACTTGAATAATATAGTAATAAAAATAAATATTATTTTAAACACTTTTAAAAAATTTTAATCTCGTAGTATTTTCGTGTCTAATTTCATGTGGGAAGTAAAATTTTTTACTTAAGGCTTACAACGAGTCAGCTGTCGCTTTAAAAACTGTTTGAAAAAAAAAACTGAAATAAAATATACATACATACATACCGCCATTACTCGCTGACGAGTAGTTGACACGCATCAGAAGATGGTCACGCAAGGCGTTTTCTTTCATGAGCTTTTCTGTGACTGAAAAGCCCGATACGTGATGTTATCTGTCTACCGCACTCCAGACATTCAAAAATCTCATTGCTTTGTTGCCTCTTTACTTTTTGGTTGTCGCTCTTAACTGACTTTACAATTCTTCTCCATTCCGTTCTATTGTGAGCTGCCTCTTCCCACTCATTCTGCTTGTTAATTCCCTTTAAGTTTTCGTGGAAAATATCCTTGAACCTTTTGAGTTGTCCACCCGGCCTCCTCTTACCGTCTACAAGCTCACCGTAAAGCAGAGATTTTGGTATGCGGTTTTCTTGCATTTTGCATACGTGACCAGCCCATCTTAAGCGGGACTTTGTTTTCATGACTTCGATACTCTCGCAGTTAGCTTTTTCAAGGACCGATATGTTTGAGACGTGATGGAACCATTTTATTCTTAAGAGTTATCTAAGATGTCTCTGCTGCAACTTGTTTAATGCGTTCATGTGTCAGCATACGGCACCCAGGTTTCGCTTCCATATAACATGGTGGGAATTATTATCGCTCGGTACACCGCAAGTTTCGTGTTTGTGCTGAAGTCATGATTGTAGAAAACCCTGTCTTTTAATTGTCAGAATGCTCTTGAGGCGCTGCTAATCCTGTGCTGAATTTCAGAGTCGATATTGGCCTTTTCCGAAATCAATTAAATTCCGCTACATATTCCAACAGTTCATCTCCGATTTTTGTAGCATTGTGATCTTCCGGGGGAGTGCACATGATTTTAGTTTTATCTATGTTCAGCTTAAGTCCCAAGGCCTCGTATGCCCATGTATATGTGTTCAACATTTCTTGCAATTGCTGTAACGTATTTGCAACTAGAGCACAGTCGTCAGCGTATTGAAGTTCTGTGAAGAATTTTGTACGTGTTTTTGCCCCGAGTCTTTTTATGTTGAACAGACCGCCGTCGTATTTGTATCTAATGCCCAAACCTCTCTCCTGCAGTTTGCTGTCCACTATAATGGAGAGCGCTGCCATGAATGTATTGAATAGGAGAGGCGCTAAGACACATCCCTGCCTAACGCCTGTGTTTGTTAGGAAGGGATCGTTCAGTGATCCATGATATGACACTCTTGATTTGTTGTTGTTATGGAGGCTTTTACATACTGTAAGAAATTTGATGGGTACTCCGAACTTTTTTATAATTACCCAAAGTGCATCTCTGTTCACAGAGTCGAAGGCTTTTGTTAGATCGATGAATGCAACGTAAAGTTTAGACTGCTGCTCTTTTACTTTTTCCTGTAGTTGCCGGATGGAGAATATGGAATCGACGGTACCGCGGTTGGTGCGAAAACCCGTTTGCGATCCTGGGAGGATTTTTTCTATATGTGGGTGCCGGCGGTTTGACATAATTTTTGCTAGAATTTTTCCTCCGATAGCCAGTAAAATATACAGCAATATTGTTATCAAACTTATCATTCATGTTGGCAAATTTTGCAAATCATTCACTTTATATCTACGTTTCATCACACTAAATTTCTTTATAATTTAAAATCTTTATAATTTAAAGAAATATTATAATTAATATATCCCATCTAAATATCTAAACAAAACCAAAACAAGTAATGTATTTCTGTTCAAAAATGCAGGTTACTACTCTGAAAACCGATTATTATTGCGAGCGATATGCGAGCAAGTGATTAAACGGTTATCCTCTATATAAACGGTTTCAGCATAAATCGTAAATCGCCTGTATCCTCGCAAGCATCGAGGATGGTACGCCACACCCGATGTTAGTTGCGTGCCGAGTAATCCTCGAGGATCGACAAGAATACTCTAGACATACCGAGGATATGAATACTCGGGTGACCGAATATTTTTCACTCGAGTGATCCCATCACTAGGTAAAACGACCGTTTGTTTTAAAACTAAATGATTTGGTTCAAGTAAAAGAGTCCGTTTTTTCGTCTATACGCCATGTTTTACTTGATACGTTTTGACTGAACAAGTAGGCTGACAAAACGTTATATGTAGATACGGCTTTAAACAACTATAGAATTTACCAACAAACCTTATATTTTTGAAATCAGAATGAAATATCTATTCGCACTGAAGAATCAGATGGCAGGGTATTCTGTTTCAAAATATAGAACTATGTAATATAAAATTTGTCAGCTCTCATGTTTCTTGTTGATTCAAAAATTACGATATAGCTCTTTTGACTGAACTATACTAATATCCCGTACATTTTACATAATAATATTGCATTTTTAGGTATTCCGCCACAGGCATATGCCCCACCGCAAGCCTATCAGCAAGCGCCGTACGCTCCTCAGATGCAATACCAAGGTGGCTATCCTGGGGCTATGTAGGGAAATGCCCCCGCTTATGGGGTTTCACAGCATTATAGTAAATTTTTCTAGCCTAAAGGAGAGACATAGGGCTACATCTGATGCAAATTAGTTTTGTTATGGCAGAGGTAGATGTCGATTAGTGAAGTTCAAGTGTGTTAAAACTTAAATGCTTGATTAGGATAAAAAAATAGATATTTATAAGCTTTTATATTTTTTATTTATAGGATAGAGAAAAGTTAAGCTACATTTTTAAAATATTAGAATGGATGATTTCATAAATTTATAGGTAATTTATTTTTCTTTAAATAATAGACTATAACATTTAAAAGTATGTTTTAACTAATCGAGATTTACCTAATGTATAAAAAATGTTAATGTTATTTCACCTCTGTCTGTTTTCAATCCTATAATTTATAACTATTATTGTATTCTTGCACAGATTTTATTATTTTTGTTGAAATTACGTACTATTAGTTAATATAGATTACCATAGAATATATATTTTAGGATATCACCCTATGGAAATTAAATTGCACTTATAGGCCAACTGAATTACACTTAAATTTTCGTATTTTTTTGTTATCTAAGATTTTACCTGAAAAAAATTATATGTGTAAATAGAGTCAGAATATAACTTGCTTTATAAAAAAGTTGTATATATTTATGCGCTAAAAAGGGATTAGGTATTAACTCATATTAAGGAATTTTCTTCCAAAGTCCATTTATTTTGTAGGTTGAAGAAAATTTCTGTTTTGAAAATGTATATAACCCTTTGTTTTGCTTACAACAAATTAATTTGTAGTAACTTGTTTTATATTATCATTCCTTTTTTATTATATTTAATTATACGTGTATATGTTCTTTATTTTTGATAGCTATAGTTATATCTATTTTGCACGTTTGGAATAAGTTTTATAGCTTTTGATTTAAAAAATCGGATATTGTGCAAAATCTAATTTCATATATAAACGTAGTTATTGCAATTATTTTTTCTCTGTATTTAATGAGCTAAATAAAAATGATTTATTGAATTGGTCTTTTAATTATCAAATTTACATTAAGAAACTTGGATACAGAATTGCCTAACCATACAGGGTGGCGCCTCTCATACGCCGCGGAAGATCCAAAGAGAACGGTAGTTTATATCGAAATGAAATTTTGGCAGCATATGTAGGTCAACTGAAAGCATTTTATAAAAATATATAGAGTTATACAGGGTGTCCCCAAAAAAGTTACACCTCAAAGATGTGTTTTTTCTAATGGAACACCCTATATATTAATTGATTTTTGGATTCTAGGAAAAAAATAGATGAGTTTTATTAAAGAAGCATATACCTAAAATCTAAAGATTTTGACATATTTCACATTATGTGAAAATGAAGAGTAAATTTTAAATTTCGACAACAGCTACCTAAATTTTAGTTGACCTCGTATAGCCTGATATTTAATTACAGTAACCATTGTATGTTAAACCAAATTGAAATTTGACCCGAAAAGTTATACCGGGTGAGACAAAATTAATATGGAACCTTTAAAAACCAAGTTACTCCTTTATTTTAAATAGAACACCCAGTATATTTTTCCGGTGTTAAATGGGGAATTTATATATCTTCAAAATTATATTAAGGTTGCCTACCCCTCAGACAAAGATTTTCCTATATATTTTAATTTTTATGATTTTGCGTCAGTAGATCTTTATTATTTGAAAAAATCTAGGTGGCTGTGTAATATATCTTTTGTTAATTTAACAAACATTAAAAATTGTAACATAAAATACTCAAAGGTAATAAAAAGATACACGTTTAAAACATATTTTAATTAGTACAGAATTAAAACTATAATTATGTGACAAAAATTAGCTAGATGAAATCAAATGCCCAAAATGCTTCCTTTCCTGTTAACTGCATAAAATAATTGTCTTTTCAAAAGGATCTTTTCATTTTAAAAGGCATATGTGGAGTTCTATCTCGAAAAGCAGCTACAATAATTTCTCTCATGTTGTCGACAATAGTTGGTCTAGTTTTGTATACTGTCTTTCATATATCCCCATAAAAAAACGAGACTGGATAAAATCACGAGCATTTAAGTATTCTATTAATTTGTGAATGCACACTGCATTCACCAACTAATAGAATCATATCAATTCTCTCTGATGTAGGATAAGTTTGCATTTTCGGCAAATTTCTGAGAAATTTTTTTGTTTTAACTAACACAAAATGATAAACTAGTTGTTAAAGTTGGACTAATTAGACAACTATGTTGAAGTACGTCGCGGCATATCCCAGCCACCTAGATTTTATAAAATAATAAAGACCTACTCCGTTCAAATAATGTAAATTAAAATATCTAGGAAAATCTTTTATAAAAAAGGGATAGGCAACCTTGATAGTATTTTGAAGAGACATGAATTCTCCATTGAATATCGGAATAATATACTGGGTGTTCCATTTAAAATAAAAGAGTAACATGCTTTTAAAAGTGACCAATGTTCAATATTAATTTTGTCTCACCCTGTATAACTTTTTGGATCAAGTTTTAATATGATTTAAAGTACAATAGTTAATCTAACTACATATTAAATTATACTGGGTAAATTTCAATTTAGGTAGCTTTTATTGTAATTTAAAAATTGTTCTTTATTTCTAGAAAATGTTAAATATGTCAAAAACCTTACATTTTAGTCATATACCTTTCTTATAAAAACTTACCTTTATTTTTCTCACAGAATCCGAAAATCAATTAATATATAGGGTGTTCCATTACAAAAAACACAACTTTGATATGTAACTTTTTTTGGGGACACCCTGTAGAACTCTCTATATTTTTAAAGTGCTCTGAATTAAACTACATATGCTCACAAAATTTCATTTCAATACAAACTGTCGTTCTCCTTGGAGCCTCCGCGGTGTATGAGAGGCGCCACCCTGTACAGGAGTATGCCTAACCATAAGTATTGTTCAGACTTCGTGGGTCTTCTATTCAAAATACACGATAAAACATTTAATTAATTTATCTTATTAACTATATAGGCTATATACCAATATACGTTACTAATTAAATATAACCCTTGTTTATACAGGGTGTCCCACAATTAGTGCGACAAACTGAAAGGGGTTGTAGAGGGTATCAAAACAAGTTATTTGAGTATAGGAACCCATGTCCGGAAATGTGCCGTTTTGGCAGGAGGTGGAGTGAAACGTAAATGTCAAGTTGCATTATTTATTGAAAACATTTACAAAAACTGCTCAAAGTGCCGTCCAGGCGTGTGCATTTGTGTCTTCAACAAAATGGACGGCACTTTGAGCAGTTTTTGTAAATGTTTTCAATAAATAATGCAACTTGAAATTTACGTTTCACTCCACCTCCTGCCAAAACGGCACATTTCCGGACATGGGTTCCTATACTCAAATGACTTGTTTTGATGCCCTCTACAACCCCTTTCAGTTTGTCGCACTAATTGTGGGACACCCTGTATAGTCCTATTTTCACGTACATCCACTGAAACTTAACAGAGAAACACGAAAGAAAACAAACTTCAAAGGTTTAAACCAATGCAATCAAAACTGGTTGCTTTGGTTTCAACCGCTTTATTCGTTTTTTCTCGTGTTTCCCTAAATGGCAACGTCGAAGCTTGCTTAATCTAGGGGCTCCGATGGAAAAGTGTTGGAAAGCTAATCGTTGTTTAAGAAAAGTTTGCAAAAAAGGAAAACGGTAAAATTTTAATTATTTTTTTTTATTAAAAAACAATTAAATTATAAAACCTAGTCGAAAAGAGTAAAGCCCATGTCTTCATCTGACTCTGATTCTTCTTTGGCTTCCTCTTTCTTGGCATCTAAAATTCAAAAAAAATCAAAATTAATAGATTTTTTAGACATCAAAAACTAGCAATTACAATAATTTTTAAAGATCAGAAAAAATATTTTCATCAAACAAATCAGTCGAAAGATGGTGATAATTGGTAATCATCATAAATTATATCAAATAAAGTTTTAAAAATAAATATTGAAATAAGAACAATATTTTAGCAATAGGAATATTTCCACATTGACCTGTTAATATCTATAATAATGAAATAACTTATTTTAGTTATGAAGAGGGGGGCTGTGGGCTTTAATTATGATAAAGTAATATTTAAAAAAAAAACAGTAAGGATAATAAATATGAAATTAAAACAAGGGACACAAATTCTAATTTCTAGGAAAAGAAAAAAATTCCTTGATCACGATATATAATTCGCAAAATAAAAGATATATCAAATTTATAAAAAACAGACAATTTATGTTAGAAATGTGAAAATTCAAATATTAATAAAATGTTACTTTATACTGACCTTTCTTTTCTTCAGCAGCTGGTGCAGCACCTCCTGCAGCTGCAGCTGGAGCAGCTCCACCACCACCAGCTGGAATTGAGCTCAGTTTCTCCCGACCTATAAATAAACATTGTTTTTTAAATATTAATTAGATATTATTCTTTTCTTGAATTATGTAAACTAGCTTTAGACATATTCAGGAAAAAAAATATCATCAAACACGCTCAGTCGAAAGATGGTGTTATTAAATTATTCATCATGTACTTGGTATCTGAAGTTAAAAAACTTGTGAATAAGCATTATATATCTCTCATATAATGAACAGAAATATAGTTGATACTTTATTTAAATATTTATACTACATCATGTAAATTTATGTAACAAACATCGATAATAAGATTTACTAGTTAAGACAAAAATTCAAACTTATATAGAATTATAAAAAAATGTTCGTATTCACCTTGTGCAATTAATTCGTCAATAGATTTTCCATTTAGTTCTGAAATAACCCTTTTCAGTTTTTCTCCATCAGCTTCAATTCCTACCGAGCCAAGAATTTTTTCAATGTCGCCAGAACCGGGGGAAGCTTTTCCACCCAAAACGGCCAACAAGTAAGCAGCAACGTAACGCATCTAAAACAAAAAAGAAAAAATCAAAATAACATATAACTAAAATTTATAACCTATAGCCTTAAAGAAATCCACTTATATTTGCAGAATCACAAGAGAAATTTGGGTATTTATTTTTTATCTAATTAGTTTTATTAAGTTTGGAAAAACATATCATAATATTTTTTAATAATATAAATTAATTCTTACTTTTATTAAGTCCAAAGACACGAAACGCGTCCACTCACAAAAATAACCTTTTCAAAGAAGGAAGAATTCTGAATATGTCAGTAACGTCAACCGTCAACGTCACCAAACACGGAAAGATTATTTTACTTTTTTTGTTCTATGGGCAAACAGTCACAGAGTATCTGTGGTGAGAAGGAAAGTAGTTTTAGTAGTTATGGTATGGTCTATTTTTTTGTGTAGTTTAAGACAGGGATGGGCGTGTAAAAAAGAGTAACTTCAATCTTCAATGCTAGTTAAATTAAAATAAAGATCAAATAAAACATTAATTTTGAAGAAAATCTTTGTTTTATTACCATTTTTACGTTGAATAAAGAAATATTGGTATTAATCCCATACGGTATTTGCCTCTGCCAAACATAAAGCTATTTTCAACAATCATATCAACGACATACTTTTACCGTGTTTCTTTGTTGTTGCTACGCATAGTAGAATGTCTCTCTGTCTATCCTTGAGAAAGATACACAATGCGCCAAATTTTATATGAATTTTAAAGTTATAAGTACCTATATTTAAGATCTAGAAATAAATATTAAACAATATTACAGTTGGTTTCAAGCTTTTCTTATGCCTCAAATTGTAAAAAATATAAAATTTTGATTGATCATAACTCGCAGAAAGACGCGTATATGATTATAATAAAAATTATGAATTGACATAAAATCTAAAATCGTTCTATTGGTTTGATTTTTTCGAACAAGATATTTTTAAGAATTTAATACCTATCCAAACAGGATTTTAAGTCTAAAATTAAGTTATCAATTAAATACAATTACAAAAGACAAAGACATGGAAGGAAAAAAATAAACAAGTCATACAAAATCATATAATCAAAGACAAGACAGTACAATTATTAGTTTCCACTTGAATACAATTATTTTAACATAAGTGTTGTAAATCAGACTTTACAAAATCTTAAAGTTTAGTGTATGTTACATGATTTGAGTTTATTCAAGAATTAGAATAAACATGGGTACTTACTAAGGCAAGCAGGTGCATCAGATTATAAATTCTCTAAAATTATAACCCTTCAGAAACTGGTAACTTATTAATTATCAAGTGGTGGTAATGTTCAATGTATACAGCAAGCTTTAATATTTGTTAAATGATATAGTCATATTATAAATGATAAAAACACTTTAATTTTATAAGAAAAAAAAAAGGAATATAATTACATATTATCAAAGTGTTTTCGAAATGCTAAATATATAACACTTTATTTTATATATGAAAAAATAATAAATTCTATATTACCAAATACCAATCTTGGTGTTAAAACAAACAAATAATAATGAGCGCGGGCAAAACTAACATGCCAATGTGCCCATCGGATCCCAAGCAGGCAATACAATTGGTTCCTGCTTGAACACATCCAAAACCTCTTCAGACACAAACTTCTTATCCACCACGACCTCAAAAGTAAATTCCTTGAACCACTCCGAAGTCATTAAGAGATATCCCTTTTCACCTCTGTCATCACCCCAAGAATTTTCAACGCGTAGCTTTTGAACTTCATTAGTTTCCTGAAATAAAATGCATATTTTTGTAAATTAATAAATTTTAATGGTTGGATTTTAGTATAATCAAAAATAAATTATAAAACACTGTCTAAAAAAGTAGTAGCTTACATCTGCATGTACAGCGGTGAAGACCATAGCATGAGTCATTGCACTCTCTCCGTATAGAAGTCTATCGCCTTTACTCATTGTAGTCTGAATATCAACTCCAAATACTAATGGAAAATCATGACTGAAAAAAAAATAAAAAATAAATACATGCAATATTTCGCTGTAAGAAGGAAAGTTATGTTTTTGTAATACAGAAAAGGCGTTCAATCAAAAACGATAATTAGGTTTACCATTAAGACATTGAAAGTGTGTTCCTAATAATAGCAAATAGTCAGGTAGGACGGATATTAACATTAGGTCAATAATTAACCCCAAACAATAATAATAATATTTATTCTTTAATACAAAAGGACCAGGTAAGTGAAATATAAAACACCTAATAAAAAAACAACAATAATCGAATTATAACAAACTAATAATATACAGGGTATACAGGGTGCGTCTCAAAAGTGGCTCACCCCTATAACTTTTTATTTTTAATATTATTTCTATATTTTTTCAGTTAAAAAACGAGATTTGGTAGGTTAGTATATGACATAAATTGGGATTAATTGACGTATTCAATTGTTTTCTGTCACTTCTCCGGTTTAGCCGGAAATGACTACAACTTTTGATTTTTAAATGGCACCCTCGGTATTTTTTTACTTTATTCGATAGAAAATGACACTCTGAATCGAATGACATATCATATGTCAACTTTTGACATTTTGGCATATAGTTTATTTGAAATTGTAACATGCGTTTAATAACGACAATTTGACCCAAAATACCAAGTGTGTGGTATCAAATTATTCGTAAAAAATGCTTTTTCGAAATATGCTAATGAGCCACCCTCGTTCCATTTGAAAAAATTGAGTATGATTAAAAATACGATTTGGGCATCTTTTAACCGGCCAGGACAAGACACTAAAAACATTAGACGATCAAATCTATTTTTCCAAGGCTCCTTGACTAAAAATTAGTGTTTTTAACACAGCCATGGCACTCTAGATTGAAATTTAAAATAGAATTTGTTTTTGAGTGGTTATGTCAAAAATTGACATATGATATGTCATTCGATTCAGAGTGTCATTTTCTATCGAATAAAGTGAAAAAATACCGAGGGTGCCATTTAAAAATCAAAAGTTGTAGTCATTTCCGGCTAAACCGGAAGTGACAGAAAACAATTGAATACGTCAATCAATCCCAATTTATGTCATATACTAACATACCAAATCTCGTTGCTTTATCTGAAAAAATAAAAAAGTTATAGGGGTTTAGACACTTTTGAGACGCACCCGGTATAGTTCATATCAAATAAACTTTTAGCCACATGTTCTATCTCACTTTAACCGGTTTATATCTACCGGAACCGGAGTGAGATAGATATAATGACGGTCTCTTCCACCTATGACGCTCCTGGCTTTTCGTAAGTTGGTTTATCTTTACCGCTTTCTCGTTCAAAATATTCTAATAAAGTTGCGATAAGTTTTTTAACGGCTATTAAGCTATCTGGTACACTTCGCAATAAAAGGTGTTCTAAAAAGAACAATGTTCGACTGCAAGGTCTGCTTGTAAAAAATTTTAAGCTTAAAGTATCACAACACTATTTATTTAAACCAAAAACTCATAATATACAAAACTAAAGTGTCAAAACGAATGACAATGTCAGGAAATAAATAAATAGATGTGACAACTTGACATTTTTTACAGCATAACTACCACCTGAATCCCCAGCGCGAAATTTAAATTCCAGTTAGTCAGCCCGGCGCCGAATATTGTTGGAATATTTACAAAAATTAATTTATATGTTTTATAAATAGAAATATAAGTTCTTAGACAAAGGCCCAGTATGTTACGTCTTTAGTTAATATTTGATGATGTTAAGGTTTAGAGCACGAAAGCTATGAATGCAATAAGTAGAATAATATAAACAAAACTGCTATGTAAGACGATCGGCCCTTTACAGCTGTGCCTAAATGCGTTCTTTGTTAGTGAAGTTGTACGTATTTTAAACAGTATATATATATATATATATATATATATATATATATATATATATATATATATATATATATATATATATATATATATATATATATATATATATATATATAAAGAGGAAGTCTTGACCGATCAATTATAACCAAAACTAAGAAGAAAATTCTTGGGGATAGCGGTCTAGTGGCAAAAATTAAACAATTTATTACAAACGCCGAGCTTTCGGAAAATATATTTCCTTTTTCAAGGCTAAAACATCACAAAAGTCAACTGAATATAATATAATATTATATAAACTTACGTGTAAAAAGTTTAATTATAAAAATAGAAAAATATATCAATTTCTATATGGAAGAAAGGAACTAAAATTTTGTATAAAAGTTAAAATCTTCTTAAATATTCATGATTTCTGACATTACTAAAAATTATTTTGACATAGAAAGGTAAATTTAATTATTAATAAAAAAACACGTAAAAAACATATAAGGTTAATCACAAGTTACAAATAAAAATAGAGAAAAAATCAAATTTTAAATATTATTTTTATTTTTAATAAAATGATAAGAAAGAAATATATATTACTAAGATCCTCAATATCTTTTCTTTTATTAATACAATTATCATTAATGTAAATTTCTACCATTTCAAGAAAAAGTCTTTTATTAGTATTAAATTCAGTATACAAAATTTTTGCATTTTTAAAATCAATATTATGTAGTGTATCAATCACATGTTCTGATAATGCACAACTACGTTTACATAATCTAAAATCACTAATATGTCTATTAATACGTTCTTTAAGAACGTATACGAATACGTTCTTTAAGAACGTATTAATAGACATATTAGTGATTTTAGATTATGTAAACGTAGTTGTGTAATGATAATTGTATTAATGATTTGATTTTATGAATTATTGATTTTTTCTTTATTTTTATTTGTAACTTGTGATTAACCTTATATGTTTTTTACGTGTTTTCCTTTCTTCCATATGGAAATTGATATATTTTTCTATTTTTATAATTAAACCTTTTACACGTAAGTTTATATAATATTATATTATATTCAGTTGACTTTTGTGATATGTTTTAGCCTTGAAAAAGGAAATATATTTTCCGAAAGCTCGGCGTTTGTAATAAATTGTTTAATTTTTGCCACTAGTCAGCTATCCCCAAGAATTTTCTTCTTAGTTTTTACAATATATATATATATATATATATATATATATATATATATATCTTATATAAGGCCCAGTATATATATATATATATAATATTTGATGATATAAGGTTTATATATATATATATATATATATATATATATATATATATATATATATATATATATATATATATATATATATATAGATATATATATATAGAGGGCGTGTTTCTAGTAAAATAATAAATAATTCTTTATTAAAATTGACCGTGTATTATTAATCCCATAACCCAACAAATATGTCCATGGTTGGCAACAATGAATGTAGTTCGTTGTAGAAGTCGCGTCCTCGATTATGTAACTAAAAGTTTAATTGGAATCAAATATACATGATGTACAAACAAAACTTGCATAAATGAAAAAAATAAAATATATTTTTTATTGTCATTTGGTACGCTGAAGAAATTCCGCATCTATTTATTTTTTTTTATTTATAAAAAATCCTATTAGTTGCCAACCTTTTGGCACACTCTGTATAACAATTCTAGGATTAGAATTACGAAATTCATTAAAATTTTAGTCTATTAGTGTTAATAGTATGCTAAAACATATACATGTGAAATAAACCTCAGATTGTTATAATAAATTCCTGGACATGTTAAAACCAATTAAATAACTTTAAGCCATTTGAGAACCTAATATTTATCACGTTTAAAAAAATATTTTATTAATGTTTAAATATGGTACAGCTAAGTGGGTTACTGATAGCCTTGTATATATATATTTTTAAAGTAGATCAACCTAAGACGTTTATGGACTAAGACTACTAGATGGCAGGACCGTTTTCCCTACAGAAAAATATTTTTTGTCACTCTGAATTTTGAAGCTACCAATAAAAACAGAGAAAATAAAAATCGATAATTTTCGGACTGTGCCAATTGGTTACTAATCGACCAGATACTTTTTGTCTATTAGATATGCTATAAAAGCTGGCAATTATACAATTCGACCATTGTAAATACCCGACAAATTCTTCAAGGCCGACGAGACCGATGTTTCTCACTGATAAGAAATAAAAAATGTTTGTTTAGATAATTTTCGAGGTATTTTTTCTTTATAACTGCACATTTTAAAGTACCGCATGATAAAAAAAACGGCGTCAGCGATGGCTATGAAATGAACATCGCTGTCATTTTATATGTAAAATTATATGGGGAATGTCATCGATCGTCATTTCCAAGCCAACTGGACGCCGTTTTTTTTTCGATCATACGGTATTTTATATTCTTTGTCCCCTTGTCCTATTATCCTGGTCGCACGTGGAAGTTCTGTCTCGTCTAGTTTTAGAAAATGTTCTTATTTCTTTGTAGTTGTAGTGCAAAATTAAATGAATTTATTAAGTTTAATTATAGTGTTTAGTGTAGCATGTTAGTTGTAGTCTACCAAAAATAGTATAGTAGTGTTTTTATAGTTTATTTTGTAGTTAAGTAGTAGGTGAAGGGATAATTTTGTTATTTTTTCTTTTTGTTTGATAAATTAGTAAGTTTGATAATTTGTTCAGTGTAGAATACAAGAATAAGTAGTTGTGTAGTGTTTTTAAGAGATTATATTCGTTTATTTTGTAGTTGAGTAGTAGGTGAAGGGGTATTTGGGTATTTCTTCTTTTTGTTTTTCTTGTAATTGTCGTAGTTCTATTAAGTATTGTGATAGATACATTATAATATCTTCCTTCAACTTCGTTGAAAAGTACGTTATCATATAATCTTGGTTTTCTGGTAATAGAATAAACGAAAAAAAAAAATCTGATCAACTTTATTTGAAATTAAATTAATCTAGTCTTATTTTATAATTAGTTTCCATATTAATAATAGTTAGTTTCAAAATACTATACAGGGTGAGTTTCCTACGATGTTCTCTATGGGTATCTCGGAAACTACTGGAGATAGAGAGTCGGTTAATGGGGAAAGAATTGCAGTTTTGTGGGGTCATAAATATGCGCTTTTCGGATTTTTGAAAAAGTTTATCGCTTACTAGATATTTCGAAAAAAAAAAAACAAATTTTGGCTATTTTAAAACTTGTCCCTAATTCCATTATAATATATTTTAGACAAAGAACAAACAGACAGTTTTCAGATAAAAGTTGTAGATAATCACATACCTAATGAGTTTGTGTTTTCTGATTTTTTCTAAAGCCTGTAATTTTTGACCGTAGTTGGCCATGACTTCATAAAAATCGCCATTTTTAAGCTTTTCAGCAATATAGGTATGGATATAGGTATATATGTTTTTTTTTTCGAAAAATTACAGTTAGATACAGAATTATAGTTATAGCCAATTCTTTTCTTTCTTGGCTAATTTCACTTAGTTGGTATGGTATTCGTACTCTGTTATGACTTATAACATAAAAACACAAAATATATTTTTAAACGGTTCTTTACGATTTACATTACGCAAACTAAAACGTCATAATATCACTACCCCATACACTTAAGTTATTTTAGAAAATGTTCTCCCGTACCGCCTCTTCGAGGGGGCCCATGCAATTGGCCCACTTCTACCGATACCTGAGTTTGCATAATTGTGATATAAATAATTTTTAACATTTCTGTCATTATAGGGGGGGAGGTGTCATAATAAACGTCATGTTGGAACCACCCTATTGATGCGCGACAATCTAAATTTAACTTTTCTAACATGTCTTTCTAACATGTCTAAAAAAACGTAAAAATAACGTTCACCGGTCAAGGTATTCTGGAAAATGTGTGGCCAAGAAAAGTTGAGCCAATAATCCTACACGCTTTTCTTCATTTAAAAAATTCATATTTACAATTTTTATTTATTTTAATTTACAAAGTTTGGATGTGACAGTTTTGCATTTCTGAAGGCAACGACGATTGAATTTGTTTCCATGGCTAACTAAGTGAAATTGTTTTAAAATGATAAAAATTGACTATAATACTATAACTCAATAATTTTTCGAAAAAAAAAACATTGTAGCTTATATTGCTTAAAAGCTTAAAAAATGGTGCTTTTTATGATGTCAGGGCCAACGATGGTTTCCATTTAAAAAAACATATGTTTTGTCTCATATGTCAAAAATGACAGGCTTAAGAAAAAATAGAGGACGCAATCTCATTAAGGATGTGATTATCTACGACTTTTATCTGAAAACTTTTTGATTGAAATAGACTATAATGGAGTTAGGGACAATTTTTAAAATAGCCAAAGTTTATTTTTTTTCGAAATATCTAGTAATCCATGAACTTTTTCAAAAATCTGAAAGGCGCATATTTATGACCTCACAAAACTGCAATTCTTTCCCCATTTAATCGACTCTCTATCTCTAGTAGTTTTCGAGAAATCCATAGAGAACGTCGTAGAAAATACTGTGTTTATTGAAAATACTGAAGACCATGTGAAACAGAATAAAAAATAAATCTTGCATTATCTAATTAAATTATTTTCCTGATACATTATTTCAATGAAAATGTACTTGAATTATGTCAGTGAGACATGTATCCTGCTTTTAGAAAGTTTTATGGTTTAACGGGATTTGTGTGTGAGATAAAAAATAATGAAATTTTTAGTTTTTATAATTCTTCACACATACAAAGTTAAAGCAAACTTAATTTTAAAACTCTGGCCATATTTTACATTAATAAAGATTTAATTGGTGTAATAAAGATTTAGATGGTGTATTAAGTACAATATATTTATTTTAATGTCAAATCATATTGAAGCAAGTTGCAATTTTTTTGAACATTTAATAAAGAATGTAAAAAGTTTTATGTTTTCAAAAAGAAATATCGTAAAATTCGTACAACACTCAATTTAGAATAGAATAAATAATCTAAGAATGAAATGATTCTTTTATAAATCTGCATTAAATCAAATTAAAGTAGGTATGTAACTTTTTCTAAATATTGTAAGAATTATTTAAATATAGCGCCAAAAACTAGGCTGACAACTCCTTCCTGGAAGCATAGAATTATGGGTAGCTTGTTGTTATGGTGTTGTTAGTTGTTATGTATTGAGAAATAAACAAAATTGGAGAATAAAGTATATTTCCCCAATTCTCGGAAAGCGTACTTCTTCATACCAGACAATTCTATTGTCTGATTCCCTTACTTCTCGACTTGACTAAAAGATGGCGCCTGAAAAAGTCTTTTAATTTCTGGCGGATACGTTGCGGTTGTGCAGGCAACCAGTAATACATTTTTAATTTCTGGCGGATAGGCCATTTTTCTTGACAATATGGTTGAGAATTTTTGAGAGCTGAGAAACAGGCAAAAATAATCCACAATCTACAATAAAGTAAATGTTTCGTTTAAATTTCTTAATCAGCTGATCACTTAAAGATGCAGAAACCCGGGCTATATTATTACATTACTCTGAGGAAAATAACCAAAATAATCGATATTTTTGACTCCGCCCCGAAAGGTTCACGATTAGTCCTCCAGTTGGCAGCACATTTTGTCTAGTCGGTTGAACAACTTTAAGAATATATAAACAAGGCTGAAACTAAGCATTTTAGGACATACATTTATTTAACAATTTTACTTGTTTTTATCTGCAGAATATGCTGCCGAAGTTTCCGGAATACAGTTCGGACCACCCTGTATATTATTTACATGCTGTAAGCCCTATTAGCTCTAGATATGATTAGATATTTCCATACTGCAATTTAGAAGTTTTATCGGTCAATTTAGGATGATGAAATATCGTAAGATAAGGAATAAATTTTAATGGAAGCAAAAAATATTGCTGCCTTATTGTTGGAACTTTTTTAAAATTATTTATTTATTAGTTATTGTCAAATATCAAAAACATACTATAATTTAAAAAATAAATGAACAGGTATGAAATGGAGAGAATTGAATTAAAAGTAGTTTCTTAAAATGCTAATTACTTACATTTTAATATCTTGAATTCCTATCTTGCTTGCGCATCTTTTGCTTACTTCACAGCCGAACCATACAGCTTCACCCTCCTTGATACTTTTTGCAGTTAATTCTAAAAGCAGTTCGACTGGTTGATTGTTGTAAATGCAACGACGACCACCCACAACATTCCCAAGACAATCCACAGTGTATGCTTTACCATATTGATTAGTTGATCTTGGATCGGTGACAAGACAAACCTAAAACAATATAACCATTTTCAAATAAATATTCCATTTACATATAGAGTGACGAGCTCTGTATCAGGTATTCAGGTATTAGATAATCACCTCTATCTTAAATAACGCGAGTAATAGCTGAAAAAAATTAAAAAATATTTTTTGTCGATATATGGGGGGCGATTTAAACAAATTTTCAACCTAAAAAATTGCCATTGTAAAAATATCATCTCTTTTTCTATGTTCAGTGGTTTTTAAAATATGATGTTTATAAACTAAATTTGTCACTAAATTAGTGCTTAAAAAAGCTCTAAAAATTTTCTTTAAACATTTCAAGTACCAAAGTGTCCTTCAAAATTCAACCTACTTAAATATGCAGCATTGTTTTATATACAGGGTGTTTCAAAACAAATGCGAAAAACTTTAGGGGGTGATTCCTTGTTCAAAATAAAGGGTAGTTTGCTTTATAAACGTTGGGTCAAAAGTCAACCATTAGGGAGATATCGCGGTACAAAGATGGCGGAAAAATAATGTTGTTATTTTTTATCTTGAAAACGAAAAGCGATAGACTAATGAAATTTTATGGAAGCATTACTGTTATGAAAACACACTTTCTGGTATTTTTCTCACTTTTTTAAAATGAGTGGAAGGGGTTGAAATAAACTCCCCGATCATGCTTGTTAACGAAATTTAAAGAAAAATTTTATCAAACACATGCAAAAATATTAATTTGGATAGTTTAGTTTGTTTAGAAACTTTTTTATCTCTTGTATTTTTTTGATAAAACTCACCGATTTGAAATTAAAAAATAAAATGTAAAGCATTACATGTCAGGACAAAAAACATTTTTAGATAAAGAATCTAGTGGGCTGGTGTAATTTTTTTAGGAAAAAATCTAGTCGGCCGCTGGGTCACTTTTTAGGATGTTTCTAATATTATTTTATTTGACATTACTCTACTGCAATACGTTATTATCTAGATTATTATCATTATCTATCTAAAAATAGATACTAGATAGATAATAATAGATTCCTTATCTAAAATGTTTTTTGTCCTGACATGTAATGCTTTACATTTTATTTTTTAATTTCAAATCGGTGAGTTTTGTCAAAAAAATACAAGAGATAAAAAAGTTTCTAAACAAACTAAGCTATCCAAATTAAATATAATAAAATATCCAAATTTGTTTGCATGTGTTTGATAAGATTTCTCTTTAAATTTCGTTAACAAGAATGATAGAGGTAGCTTATTTCAACCCCTTCCACTCATTTTAAAAAAGTGAAAAAAATACCAGAAAGTGTGTTTTCATAACAGTAATGCTTCCATAAAATTTCATTAGTCTATCTCTTTTCATTTTCAAGATAAAAAATAAAAACATTTTTCCGCCATCTTTGTACCGGGATATCTCCCTAATGGTTGACTTTTGACCCAACGTTTATGAATCAAACTACCCTTTATTTTGAACAAGGAATCACCCCCTGAAATTTTTCGCATTTGTTTTGAAACACCCTGTATACAGAGCGAGTCAAAAGTAAATGTTTTTATACTTCTCCAGTAATTAAAATGGAATACCCTGTATTTTGTATCCCTGTGTCATAAAAAACAGATTTGTTTAATCTTTTTGTTTTATTCGGCATTTTCTATAGGTAACTAAAATCATTATTAACTCAGAAAATTTAGCTTTTTGGAGAGTATAATACAATGCTTGTTGAAAATGTCTGTACCTCAGTGGCGGATTCATCTTTTCAGAAAAGTCCTATGGGTATATCGCCACTTGCACTAAAACTAAAGTGTTCTTGAATAGTTGTATTCCGACGAAGGGAAAAGATATACTTCCCGAAACGTTAGCCAATATTGTTTATTAGTCACTGCTGACAAGTTAGTCTCCCTTGGATTAACACAGCTGTGTTTACAAAAAATAACTATTTTATTTTGTAGATTTTCTTAAACAGCCTCTACACTATCCCCGAAATGTTTTACGAAATATTTCTGTCGCTCTAAAAAAGTCGCTCGCTTCAGATCAAAATGATTTTTTTTTTCAAACATATCAAAAGTATTAATTTTTGTCATTTTAAAAGTAAAGCACCGTTACGCCTAAGCACAAAAGTACAAAAATATATTATTAAACTGATATTAGGTGTCAAATTCAACGAGTGTATAAATCTTTTCTCGATTACTGTTTGTATTATTTGAAATGTTTGAAATTGATTAAAAAATTATTTGTAATGTTTTTTAAAAAAAATAGTGTTTTATTCGAAGTAAAAATGTAATTTTTGTGCCTCCTTGTAACGTCGGAATAGCTTACGATCAAGATGGTCCTTAAAATGTACAGCATCGTCAAAAAAAGTATAATTTCTACTCTTAATAAAACAATACACTATTGTTCGGAAATAGCCTTAAGTCCAGAATGAAATTAGTATTATCTAATGTCAAAGTGTAAAGTACTAACTGCAAATGAAAATGTCGGTAAGAATTTGGAAACATACAACCGTTTCAAAAAAAAATAAAACATTTTGTTTTCTGACAACGATTATAGATTCTCGGGTATGAAGATATAGTCTCTATATCAGAAGAACCTAGGTAGTTCTGTACTAGTCTGCGAATGATATGTATTCGAACAGCGAATTTTTGTCACTTATACATAAATTTTAAAATAAATCCCTGCGTTTAGCGGTCTTATGGATTCACACCAAATTACTTTAAAAATCGGTTCAACATTTAAATTGATGAATAGGTATTCTTATACAGTTTTATAAAATTTACAATTATTTTTCGATTTATTATGTTATATCTGTTATAGAAATATTTTTTATAGTTTTCTAAGACAGATTTTTATAACTTTTACAGTTATTTTTTAATTTATTATAAAGTTTCAATAAAACTAATTTTTTTATTTAAATCACATGATTAAAATTAAAAAAATCACTTGATTTAAATCATGCCAACCCTGGTGTAATGTAATACCACTATATTAAACTGATATGAAAAATCAAAAACAGTGCATTCAGTTAACCGATGGTAGATTAAATTGGCTATTCCTCTAAGGTTACACAAGAATATTTAGCTTTAATCATTGTCTAACATTGTTAATTACAATTTACGATATAGTAAAAAATATATTTCCAAAACTTAAAATCGTAAAACTGCAGGTCAATACGCAGTGACTAACTGTTTTGGCGGTCCGCCTTTTATAGGTTATAATCCACGGTGTTAAACTATTTAAAAAATCGTCTAATTATTTCTTATTTTTGAATGGATTTATATCAAACCATGTTATTATTATTGACATCGGGTCAACCAATAATTTTCCCAATCGGCTCGATATATTGATGATGTTGCCAGTATTACTCATCAAGCAATACTACTGTTATATTAATCAATTAAGTCCGCGTAAAGAAACATAACATATACAATTTTATATACTAATTCATTACAATAAAATTAATAAACATTTTGTAATTATTCCTGCAGATTGAGTGAAAAGTATTGTTCTTAAATATCTACTCTAAATATTATAAACGCGTGTTCAAATATTAATTTTGTGGAATATACAGGGTGTCCCAGGCTGAGCGTGCATTAGAAGTTTCTATAGAACTACAACATCTAGCTCGGAGATTTTTTGCACATCATAGTTTCACAACGAGATCTATCGATTAAAAATATTTTCAATATGGCGGCACTTCCGGAAATACCGGAAGTTGACAGCAACTTTCTTATTTTAAATGGGTGCCTCCATTTTTTATTATGTGCTTAAGTTCTCTGTAAAATTTTATGAATTTTGATATTAAACACTCTATATCTAACATTAACCGTTTTTGAGGAAAAAATTATTTAAAATTTTTGAACGAAAAAATCTGCCTGTTAAAAATATGTGTCTAGCCTAAATGTCAAATTTAGTGATTACCACAGCCACTGTGCCATAAAGAGGAAACACGTGGCTATCTTTTTCAAATATTAAATTGTTCGAATGTCATATAATAACGAATTGAGCGATTAAAAAATTATCATAAATCATTTTTTTCAAATGGAAACCCACTTTTTTTATTTCACTAGTGAAAACGCTTTTCAATTCGTTACTTTTTAACTATACATATTCCTATACCTAAAATAAATCGTTTTTGAGTTATTTAAGATTTAGTTTTAAAGCTTATATTTTTCTTGATTTTAACCAGTAGCCTACGATTTTAAACGTCAAGTGATGTAAAAAACTAGATCTGGCCATCATATTTTGACGCTTTGTTCAAAAAGCAGCATCATTTTCGAGCCCACTTTGCGCAGTTTTTTTTTTTCGATCATACGGAATATTGAATATTAATAACATCAACTATTAGATACCACTAAAGAGCGAAAATAATATTTTTTTTATAAATACACTTTTTAAACTCTTCAGGCAGGCAGTATTTATAATATAGGAAATTCAAATAATTCGTTTTCTGACAGATGGAAATAAATTGTCTGACCGTTTGACACTTAATGTCAAAGGAAGCTAGATAAAATCAAGAAAAATATACGTTATCTAACTCAATCTTAAATAACTTAAAAACGATTTATTTTAGGTATAGGAACATGTATAGTTAAAAAGTAACAAATTGAAAAACCGTTTCATTAGTGGGATAAAAAAACTGGGTTTCCATTTGAAAAAAATGATTTATGATAATTCTTTAATCACTCAATTCCATGACAGCTACCGCCATTATTATATGACATTTGAACAAGTTAATTTTTGAAATAGATAGCCACATGTCTTCTCTTTATGTATATACATGAAGAACAGTGGCTGTGGTAATCACTAAATTTGACTTTTACGCTATACAAATTTTCTTGACAGGTAGTTTTTTCGTCCACAAATTTTAAATAATTTTTTTCTCAAAAACGGTTAATGTTAGATATAGAGTGTTTAACATCCATATTCATAGAATTTTACAGAGAATTTAAGTACATAATAAAAATGGAAGTGCCGCCATATTGAAAATATTTTTAATCGATAGATCTCGTTGTAAAACAACGATGTGCAAAAAATCTCCGATCTAGATATTGTGGTTCTCTAGAAACTTCTAATGCACGCTCAGCCTGGGACATCCTGTATATATCAACATAAAACGAGATGTAATTAACGAAATATCATCGTAACAACAGCTATTTTAGAAATGTCTAGGTTTACTTATTTCACTGAGATTTATGAAAAAAAATCTTTTGCCTCGGGTACAGATACCGCCACGTTTTGGAAATAGCTCAAAACGAAACAAAATTGAATGAGGCAACAGGAAACGCCAAAAAAATCCATTTACGCGTAGTTTTCAGGCGCTTTTAAGAATCGAAAGTAGGTCGAGGCAAACTTAAGTCGGTCAAGACAACTGGAAATAAATCGAAATGCGGCAAAGTTGGACGACGAAATGCGATCTTGATCTGTTTCAAAGAGTTCTCCGCATAGTGTAGAGGCTCTTTTACAGTGCAAGTGGCGAAATACCCATAAGACTTAAAAATTTTCTTTATTTAATAATGTTTATAATAAAATATGCTTATATAAAATTATGGAAAATAAGTTAATTTGTAAAATTATGCGAATAATATGTGAAAAAAGTGATGCGAATAATATGTGAAAAAAGTGATGCTAATAAAATTGATTTAATCATTCAAAGTATTTCTTAACTGCTTTCTATTTTCGTTAAATCATTTTAATTAAGTTAAATAGCTACATTTCATATTGAATACAATACATACTAAAGATATGATAAACTATACAAATGATGTCTAGATATCAAAACAATTATAATAATAAACTGAGGATAAAAGGCTTAAATGATATGCTATTAATAAATAAAGCATTTGTAATATTTTACATGCAAAGAGTAGTCAACAAATAAAAAAATATCTGCAATTCATATCTTAAATAATAAACAGTAGTAAAAGTTACCTTATCATCAACATTAAACAATGGTTTAATGTGGTTTTCATAGAACTCCTTAGGCGTTATCGGTCCAATGCTATGGAAGAATTTGTTCTTATCATAATAATTCCAGGTAAAAGTATCATGAGGTATCCCTAATGATAATAAAAATATAGTTGTACCTTTGACAACATAAAATTATTAAATATACCTAAACATATGGCAACAATCCTATAAATATTTATCATTTGTTCTTCCACTAATTTTTGAACGTCTCCATCGCTACCACCTTTTTGAATAAGATCTCTTATAGCTTTAGCATATTCACGTAACTAAAAAACATATATTAGTGAATAATAAAGAATATAATTTTAATTTTAAATATATAAATTATTCAATAACATTTACTTTTGTGAAAATTCCGGGGAATATCAGTCCCAAAGAAAACATTAAACATCAAATATTTATTCTAGTTAACAAGCTAAAGGGGAGTTATAATATATGAAAGTAAATGTTTAATTTATTTCTCTTTAAAATATTTTTTATACCTTGCTCTTCAACACTTGATTCATTCTTGCACTGGCTTCACAACTATATGATTCAGGAAAATTTTTCTTTGGCATTAGGCCATGTTTATTAATTAAGTTAACAATCATGTCCCACTGTCCTCCATCACAAGTAGGGTCCTAGGACACACAATTCAGGAAATAAATTGAAAATAATATATTTGTATATGTTACTTACGTATAATAAAAATGATACTAATCTACCATCTACAGGTTCATTCCTTTTAGCAGTCTCCACAATGTTGTTTAAAAAATAATTACATCTTTCAATTTTGTCCCAAAAGAAAAGGTAGCCTTGAGAAAATTCAAAATCTTCCAAGTTAAAATGTTTGATTACAGGCAATCGAATTACATTTAGAGCTGCAAAAAGCCAGCAGCGGCCTGAGTTCTTTTGATTAGTAACAGGTTTTGCTTCAGCTTCAATCTACAACAATATTTGTTGACATACCTGCCAGTTTAAAGTAAAAAATGAAAATATCACCTTGGAGTTATAAATATGTTGAGTTTCCTCAATCCTTTTTCTTGAGAGGGCAACTTCAAAAGGGTCAATTTTTGAGCAAACATTTTGTGCCAATAAATTCTTTTCATCAGAGAGAAAATACTTCTTGAACTTCTCTAAATGATCCTTGGTCAGGATAGCTTTAAACATATTAATATTACGAAGATTCTTTTGAATCATATTTATCAACTACACAATTTAGTATGCTGTTAATAGCGTTATAAAAAAATAATGTATTTACATAAATATACTTAATTTGACATTAATTAAATAGACATTTATTTACAAATAAATATTTGGTATATACTAATTTCTACAATAATAATAATCTTACCGGTACTGGAATCCATTTTGAGCCTTTTTAACACAAAAATTAAATCTACTTTAGAGTTTTAATAAATAATGTGATAATAAAACACAATATGCAATACCAATCCAGAACAGAATGAAATGCAAAATTTCACCTAGAAAAGTGATGAGTGGGGAGAGCTTCTTTCTCTTCTTTCTCTTAAAAAAGAAATAATACACCACAGAGTAAATCATGATAATATACTGTGTGTACCGTATGTCTGTGATTGACTCTTATGAAAATATTTACAGAAAGTAATTTTGATAATAAATGTGTAATAATATGGACATTTGCACAGTTTTAACGAAGGTTGCGACATCTACCAGAATTATATGGTTAAATAATTAAACAAGGGTTGGTAGCTAGGGATGGGTGTTTAGAGGTCCCTTTGAGAGGTCCTTACTTTTTAAAGTATTTTAATAAAATAACTTTATTCGGATCTCATTTCGCCAAAGTTTATTTTCGCTGAGTTTTTGAATTGTGTGGTTTTGGTGTAAAGATGTACGTAAAAAACTTTAAAATTAAAAAGAAGAAATAACTAAAATGATATTTGTATATAAAAACCATTGAATAAAGAATGATAAAAACATCTAATCTTAAAAATAATAAAATAAAGCTTTTACTAATATGCGGATGCAAGTTTTTTACGTTTTTATATTTTTATACAGGGTGTTTCAAAAAACATGTGCCATCTCTCGTGGCGAGATTCCTCCAGAGATATAGAGGATTCCTTACGTAAAAATAAAATGTATTTTTCATATATCAACATAAGGTTCGATTCTGCCTTGTTTCGTAGCTACAGGGTGTTATCTTAATATTGTTTTCGGTTTATTCTTAGTGTTTATTATAATTTTCTTCTACTAAAAAGTACTTTTATTGTTTCGAATATAGATAACCCATATGCACGTCCCTTTTATGAATTTATCGACACTTTTTTATCATTAAAATATGTAGCACTTATAGTAACTTTCAAAGTTAGGTAATGGTGTGGATCCGGTGGCTGACCTTGAATCGAGTTTTTGCTGCATATAGTCACAGGCACTACGCATGCGCACATCTTCGATGTTGCCAGATTGCAAGTTATTTTGGAATTATTTTCAGTAGAAAACAAATATATGCTTTTCAGTGTTTTTTTGTCAATATATACCGTATGATCAAAAAAACGGCGTCCAGTTGGCTGGGAAATGACGATTGAGGACATTTCCCATATAAAATAACAGCGATCTTCATTTCATAGTCATCGCTGCCGCTATTTTTTTTCAATCATAGTACGCGGCATTATTTATATTATTATTTTAATATTTCGCACAACACGTGAACGCTTATTATGTATTTTCATAGTCAATAAAATTAAATAGAAATAAAACTCTATATTCCTATAATTAATCTAATTGCTCTATATTATTATGCTACGTTTAAAAGGGCTTTATTAAAAATTCGGGAAATTAAAAGGGATGTCCAAGTTTTTCTTTTTTTTTTTTAATTTTTAAATGCTGTAGCTTCATGTCATGTTCATAATAGATTTTTTTAACATTCCATCCAAACTACTGAGGCCTTAAAAGGCCTTTTTAGCCTCCGTAATTAAAATTGTGTAGAATCAGCTTCAGCAACATTAACAGTTACCTTGTTTAATCCTGCTTATACATATATTGCATTAATTTTTCTGCTACCTTAAGATTTCTCTATTCTTACACCTAATTTATGTGATTTTCTTAGCAAAATATGATTTATAAACCATATTTTTCCTAATGGAAGGATGGAATAGGATATGCCAAATTAAGATATTTAACATTTATTTTCCAGACAAAGCATAATATAGTATTAAGATTAAGACATAACAAATATTATAAGAAAGATCTTAATAAATCACAAACTAAGTCTTAATTAAAACACAGGTATAAAACTAATAAGATAAAAACTCAACCTTCACCATATTGACAACATTTGGCATTATAGGAAACAAAAAATTACAGTAAATTAAGAAAAGAATATCAAACTACACGATATTAAATACTGTATTTCTACGACACAAACCATCTCCCTTATAAAGAGAAAAAGATAAAACATCAAGCTTATTTTAGTCTTATCACCACACTCTTCGATAAAATATATGTCTAAAATTGCTATTAATCCACTAACTTGATATTTTTAAGAAATTATGATACAAACATTATAATCAAAGTATATTATATTAGTAACATTATAGGTAAAATGTTACCTCTATCTCCCATTGTCGTGTATTGTTCTATAAGACTCGTCATGGGAGTACTTCAATACATCAATACATATAATCAGAACTATTGTTGCCTGTAAATAACTAGAAATTAAATAACTTGAAAGAAATAAAATAATTCTAATAAGTTTAAAACCATTAAGAAAAAAATTCGTAAATGATAATTTTAATTCTAATGTAAATATATAAATAAATGTTATTAATATTACAATTTTATATATTCAATTTTATATATTATTCCTTAAGTTTTGGATATCAAGATAAATCTGAAATTGTAAAATTAATTAGAGAATTTGTATTATTATTGATTAACACTCAAAAGAAAATTTTCAACTGCAAATAATTCGAAAATAAAGTGCAATTTGGCAATATCGACGATGTGCGCTTGCGTAGTATCGATGATCAAATGCAGCAAATATGGGCTTCAAGGTCAGCCACCGGATCCACACCTTTACCCAAAGTTACTATAGTTTTTTTCAAAATTTCGTTCGAATCACTAAATAAAGTAATTAGAAGAAAAGGTAATGGTGTGGATCCGGTGGCTGACCTTGGGTGCAACTTTGTTCATGTTTCAAAGCGATAGTAAAGTAATTTGTAGCTTGATGCACTATGTTCAGTAGCAACATCGATTCGTAGCGATATTCTGATTTCTCGCTTTGTGGCGAGGCGACAGTCTAGACACGTGTGCAAGAGTGTGATAGTGATACCATATTTCGCAGCATTTGAGCGACACTAGTTTTGCAATGAACATAGTATCGATCTGGTTTCGACATCGCTTCTAAACGATCGGTTGCTAACTTGAACAAAGTCGCACCCCTTGAAACGAGTTTTTGCTGCATATAGTCACAGATACTACGCATGCGCACATCTTCGATGTTGCCAGATTGCGAGTTATTTTGGACTTATTTTCAGTAGAAAACAAATATGTGCTTTTCGGTGTTTTTTTGTCAATATATACCGTATGATCGAAAAAACGGCGTCCAGTTGGCTGGGAAATGACGATTGAGGACATTTCCATAAAATGATAGCGATCTTCATTTCAGAGTCATTGCTGACGCTATTTTTTTTTCAGTCATAGTACGCGGTATATTATTTTAATATTTTGCACAACACGTGAACGCTTATTATGTATTTTCATAGTCAATAAAATTATATAGAAATAAAACTCTAGATTCCTATCTAGATTATTATGCTACGTTTAAAAAGTGCTTTATTAAAAATGTGTCCAAGTTTTTTCTTTTTTTTTTAATTTTTAAATGTTGTAGCTTGACATGTTCATAATAGATTTTTTTTAACGTTCCATCAAAACTACGGAGGCCTTAAAAGGCCTTTTAGCCTCCGTAATTAAAATTGTAGAATCGGCTTCAGCAACATTAACAGTTACCTTGTTTAATTCTGCTTTACATAATATATTGCATTAATTTTCTGCTACATTAAGATTTCTCTATTCTTACACCTAATTTATGTGATTTTCTTAGCATATATGATTTATAAACCATATTTTTCCTAATGGAAGGATGAATAGGATATGCAAAATTAAGATATTTTAACATTTTTTTTCCAGACCAAGCATAATATAGTATTAAGATGAAGACATAACAAATATTATAAGAAAGATCTTAATATAAATCACAAACTAAGTCTTAATTTAGTCTTGTATATATATTATTATTATTATTCTTATAAAACTAATAAGATCAAAACTCAACCTTCACCATATTGTCAAGATTTGGCATTATAGGAAACAAGAAATTACAGTAAATTAAGAAAAGTAAACGATATTAAATACTGTAATGTATTCTACGATACAAACCATCTCCCTTCTAAAGAGAAAAAGATAAAACATAAAGCTTATTTTAGTCTTATCAACACACTCTTCGATAAAATCCACTAACTTGATATTTTTAAGAAATTATGATACAAACATTAATTATAATCAAAGTACCGTATGATCGAAAAAAAACGGCGTCCAGTTGGCTGGGAAATGAACATCGATGACATTTACCATATAAATTTACATATAAAATGACAGCGATCTTCATTCCATAGCCATCGCTGACGCCGTTTTTTCTCGATCATACGGTATATTATATTAGTAACATTATATAATAGGTAAAATGTTACCTCTATCTCCCATTGACGTTATTGTTCTATAATAAGACCCGTCATGATAGTACTTCAAAACATCAATACATATAATCAAAACTATTGTTGCCTGTAAATAACTAGAAATTAAATAACTTGAAAGAAATAAAATAATTCTCATAAGTTTAAAACCATTAAGAAAAAATCCGTAAATGATAAATTTTAATTCTAATGTAAATATATAAATAAATGTTATTATTATTACAATTTTATATATTCATAATACTTTCATTTCACAATCTTCATTATCCTTCTTACCTTAATTTTGGATATCAAGATAAATCTGAAATTATAAAATTAATTATAGAATTTGTATTATTATTAACACGCAAAAAAAAATTTTCAACTGCAAATAATTCGAAAATAAACTGCAATTTGGCAACATCGACGATGTGCGCTTGCGTAGTATCGATGATCAAAAGCAGCAAATATGAGCTTCAAGGTCAGCCACCGGATCCACACCTTTACCGAAGAAAATTTTAATAAATCGTAAAATTATTAAGACTTTAGCCTGTAGGCTACAGGCTAAAGTCTTAATAATTTTACAGGCTGTAGCTATACGAAACAAAGCAGAATCGACTCTATGTTGATATGAAAAATAAATCTTATTTTTACGTAAGGAATCTCCCCACGAGAGATGGCACATATTTTTGGAACACCCTGTAAAAAGCATTGATAAAATTTTCTGCTCCTTATAAAAACCAGAGGTTACGTTTTATCAGTGATGACAGAGTATTGGCACAGAATATCTAGCTACGCAACAGAAAAATACTCGAAATGAAAGAGCTAAAATTGCAC